GGGCTGAGAAACCGAGGGAGGATGAGGGAGGACCGCGGCGGGCTCCACTAACCGCTCACTTTCCACCCCCGCAGGGCCTCCCGGGGCCTCGTGGGGAGCCCGGGCCAAGAGGAGAGGCGGGCCCCATGGGGGCGACCGGGCCTGCGGGCGAGTGCTCGGTGCCTCCGCGCTCCGCCTTCAGCGCCAAGCGCTCCGAAAGCCGGGTGCCCCCGCCGTCGGACGCGCCCCTACCCTTCGACCGAGTACTGGTGAACGAGCAGGGACATTACGACGCCACCACCGGCAAATTCACCTGCCAGGTGCCCGGAGTCTACTACTTCGCCGTCCACGCCACCGTGTACCGGGCTAGCCTGCAGTTCGATCTGGTCAAGAACGGCGAGTCCATTGCCTCTTTCTTCCAGTTCTTTGGGGGGTGGCCCAAGCCAGCCTCGCTCTCCGGGGGCGCCATGGTGAGGTTGGAGCCTGAGGACCAGGTGTGGGTACAGGTGGGAGTGGGTGATTATATTGGCATATATGCCAGCATCAAGACAGACAGCACCTTCTCTGGATTTCTAGTGTATTCTGACTGGCACAACTCCCCTGTCTTCGCTTGATACCCACTGGAAAATGAGCGCATGCTCTCTCACTCCTATGAGAGGAGAGTGTGACATTGATGGCCACATAATCCGGGAGGGCTGGCCCCCCTGGAATGTTGTGAATGACTGCGGAGGTGGGGTGGGGCCTCTCTATTCTGCTGCCGACAGGGAATGAGGACAGAGGCTGAGATCAGGGCTGGCAGCGTGGGGCAGTGGCTGGATTTCTGCCCCAGACCAAAGGAGAGCGCTGTGCTGGCAGGTGTGGGTCCCTCCAGTTGCTCTGGCCCAGGACCCCAAGGTGGGGTATTCTTTCCTGGTCCTCCGCTTCTTTGAGTCCTCCCTTATCCCTCCTGCTCCTGGGCCCTTTTCTCAGAGATTATTCAATAAATCTTTAATAAAAAAAAGCCCTCCTATTGGCTTCAGCTTTTCCTCTTTAATGGTGGGGATGCCCTGATTCCAAGGATGGGAGGAAAGGGGAAGAGGGAGGAGGGAAAGGGCACTTAGGCAGAAGAGGTCTCTTAGGCTGGATGAAGCTATGGGGCAGGAGATACAGGGAGCAGGTTCAGGTGAAGGAGAGGTTACTTTACAGAGCTGACACCTAAGCTATGTAGGTTGTGAACAGGAGTGCCCTGCCAAGGAGTGCCCTGGTGTGGGGCTCTGGCCACCCAGAGGAAGCAGCACATTTTTCTAACTCAAAGATCTCATATGAATTGGATGGAACTTCACCACACACCCTCCTGCCCTGACCGACAAAAAAGAGCCTGGTATTTTCATTCATGACTGTTCTGGCTGCTTGCCTGTCCCTAGATGACTGGAGAGCTGTTTCTCTGTCCCTCATGCCAGGGGAGCAGAGTGTCCTTGGGTGTCAAGATACATCATTTCCGCGGTGGCCACAAGGGGGCACCCCAGCTCCAGAATGCAGCAACGACCCTAAGTAGCCTGCACTACCAGCCTGCTTAGGGGGAGGAAGGGTAGAGGTCTGCCAGTAGGATTCCAGATGGGGGTGGAGGAAAAAAAATGGTCCTTTGCTCCCAGCTCAGGAAGTTTATCTTCCCTCATAAAATGTTTATCCTCACATTAAACAGAGACTGGAAGGAGCCAAGCCTCCCCTTGATCAGCAGCTTCTCCAGGGTTGGGGAAGGGGAACAAAAGCCCTTCCTCAGGCCTCCCAACTCCAAGGTGGATGTGCAGAACGCTTCCCCACTGGGCTGGGCCGCCTCGAAGTCTGAGGCTAGCCACAAAGCCCCTTCAAGACTACCCTCCTCTGACCTGCAGCAGCCAGCGCCTGCTCCACCCCCAACCCAATGACTAACAAACCAAATCGGGGCTTGCCAGCTCCACAATCAGCACAGGCTCTCAACCCGAGAGAAAAGTGGAGAGAAAGTGGAGGTGCCTCTCCTCAGAGTTTCTTCCTGGCCTATCCCTTTCTCTCTTACCCTTCCTTCCAGAAGGCTGTCCTTGGCATATGCTCCTAGATTTAACATACAATTATGGGATGGTGTATCTCCCCCACCGCCGCTCTTTTGCTGGTCACGTGAGGGTGGATGTGACCGATGGAGAGTGGGCCAGGTAACTGAGCTAGAGATAGGCCTCAGCTGTCCTGGGCTTCGGCCATCCACCAGGAGGTCCCACAGCCATACTTCAGCCTCCCACAGCACCCCTCCACACCAAGAGACACAAAGACAAGCACTAACTCCTCCAGGGATCTGAGGGGAGACTTGACTTCAGGCAGCAGGAACCCCAAGTTTCCTCCTGGGATGAGTGGCACCAGAGGAGAAGCTCGGGGGCTGACTACAGGGAGAGAAGGTTCACCCTCTTCTCTACTAGGCTTAGTTCTGGCAAAACAGAAACGAGAGTTTTTCCAAAAGCTGTGCACGTGAGGGCACAAACTGGAGGGGTGTGAAAGCGAATCCAGCCACTCTTGGCATGGGCTCTCCCCAAGGCATAGCACCCCCACCCTATCCTATCTCTTCCCCCACCAGGTCCCCCACCGACCACACCTGTGACTCCAGCAGGACTGGAAGACACTGCAGTCGCATCAGTTCCCCTGACCAACTGCTCACCCTTGTAAGGATGCACAGAGGCCCTCAGAGCTGTAACAGGACTTTATTCCCTGGAACCTGGGCCAGACAGACCCCTTAGGAAGCTGCACGCCCCTACACCCTGGCCCCTTCTGTTTTTGGACCCTAGTGCAATGTGCAGTCTGCCTTCCCCAGTGCCAAGAAGAGACTAACAGAAGTGGAACACCACTTTTCTCTGTGATGTGCGGAGTGAAGGGGATATGAGTAGAAATCTGCTATCCCTCCTGAGGCTCCCAGTGGTGCTGGGGTGCCAGAGGGTACATGGTCCCAAAGCCAGGTGCAAACACACACACACATCCCCGGGGGTTAACTCTTGATCCCAGCTGTTGGATCAGGTTGGGAGGGGGCCTCATAAGATCATGACAGCTACAAGTGGTAGCTTTAAGGGCACCTGAGATACTACCCCCCAAAGCCTGCCAGGGCACAGCGGCTCCAGCTGGAAGCAAACGTTCAAGATCATTCCAAGGCCTTAGGGTTGCCAAAACACGCAAATGACACTGATACGTATGGCTGCAGAAGCTGGGGAGGAAGTGAGGAGGGAGCAGGGAGAGAACCTACAAATCCCCAACAGAAACACCAAAGCAGAGAAGAGGAGCCCCAGACACTTGCATCTGGCTGGGCCCTGGCAAGCTGAAGGGGAGTCGAGAGTCTCACACTGAGTGGTGAGACACACTCACCACACTCAGCATCACGGGGACCCGCCAGGTAAGGAAAAGCTGTTACCCTGCCCCCATCCAAGTCACAGTCTTCCAGGTTTCCCATCTCAGTGACCTGGATGTATGGCTTCAGGTTCGGCAGAGGGCAGGAGGGGATTCAGTCTGGGACCCAGAGATCGGGTGTTAATGCTGTCCTCGCGCAGGTGGCTGCGTGGAGCGTGGAGGGGTGGGCAGACAGGGAGGGAGTCTTCAGAGGTAGACATTGAGGGTCTGCAGAATGCCCCGGCGACAGAGTGGGCAGTTGCGGTGGTAGACAGGGTGGCGCATTAGGATTTCGGTGCAGGCCTGGCACAGGCACAGGTGCCGACAAGGCAGAAGCAGCACCGTCTTGCTCTGGTCCTGGCAGATGACGCACTTCTTCCGCTCCTCTTGCTCCTTCAGCAACTTCCATGGGTCTTGCCCAGCTACAGGCTCCTCCACATTGAGCCTCTCCCGGCCTCGGGCAGCTGTCACCCTGGCCATCCTGACTGCCTCCTCTTCTGCCTCTGATCTGGGCCCTGCTTCAGGAAAAGTGTCCTGTCGCCAGGTCCTGGCTGAGGGCACCCTCCTAGGGCCACCCTGGGGGGCCCCAGGTGCCCCTCCCCGGTTTGGCCAGCTCGCCAGCTGCAGGCTTCGGCTCCAGATGTGGCGCCAGGCCTCCAGGCCCAGTGCTAGACGAGACAGCCGTACAACATCCTCTCTGAGTCGGTGGTAGGATGGCCGGGCGTGGAGCTGACTGAGCATCCGGGTGGCCAGCCTCAGGGTGAGGTCCGGGTGCAACACAATCACCGTCAGTGCCAGCACACAAGCCAGCAGCGCTAGGCCAGTGAGATTGACAAGCACAAAGCTGGCCAGGAGGCGGGCAGCTGAGGCCAGGAGCTCCAGTACTAGCTGGCAGGGGGTCCAGAGGAGGATGGACATGGCCACAGCACTGCTGGAAATGTGGGCTAGGAAGGCAGCCACCACATCCGTCATCCTCCACAGCGGCCCCATCACTGCATCCCATAGGGCCAGCACCAGGGAGAAGAGGTTCTGAGTGCCAATAAGGCAGATGTTGACCAGGCTATTGATCACATAGGCCACTAGGCTCATGGTAATGGCACAGATGTCACAGGCCTGCCGCAGCAAAGCATGGCCATTGGAGACCATATTGAGGACGCCCCGGTGCAGGATCTCCCGGCTCCTAAGCGCCCCATGAGAGGCCAGGTGCCCCAGGAGCTTTAAGCTCTCCAGACCAGAATAGCAGCTGTATAGTATGGTACACAAGGCCTGCAAGCCCCCAAAGGTGAACCGGACCACGGCTTCAATCAAGGCCAGCAGTGAAAGCAAGACTCCGCGGCCCAAGTGCAGAAGACTAGTCAGTACCGTGTGTGGCAGGTTGTAGATGAAGGCCAGGAGCCAGGCCAGGGAAGCCAGGAGGGAGGACACCAGCAGGAAGTTGAGGTCCAACACCAAGGTCAGCACATCCAGCAACAGGCCCACCCCATTCACTACCAAATACACAGCTTCCATGATAGTGCTATGGAGGTTAATCCAAAAGGAAGTCTGGCTCCCGGTTGAGGGGGGGTCTCAGAACTGTCAATATTTGGGGAGTTCAGGAATTAATTTGGAAGAGAAGTGAGCAGGCTCCAATCCAGGGAGAATCTGAGGAAGTGGGTTGGAAGGAAGTGGAGTCTCAGGTGAGGGAAAGGGAGCCAGGTGCCGGTCCAGGAGTCCCGGTTTTGAAGGCGGGCTGTTTGGGAGGAAAGAGGCCAAACATTTCCAAAGTGGAGGTGATCCCGGGCTAGAAGAGAAACCTCAGCTTTGAAGGCCTGGTGGTGACGTACCACGGCCGGGCAACGGGTCAGACCCAGGAGACCGGGAACGGAAGGAATCGGGCCAGGCCGGGGCCGGGTGGGGGCGGCGCAGGCTGGGCGCAGGCTCGCAGTCCAGCGACGCAGGTGCCCCTGTCCCCCGCCCGGCCCCCGTCCTCTGCGCTCGCGGCGATTTGCGCCCAAAGGGGCAGTGGGGAAGGGAGCGAGCCTCAGCAAACCCCCGGCGCGGCTTCTACTTCGCTGGGCGCCGCCATCTTGTGCGCGAAAGGGAGGGGCAAGAGGCGTGGCATGGAGGGAGGGACGAAGAACTCTGGCCAATCGGTGAGGCCCGACCACAGGAAATATCGAGCACTCATTGGTCCGTTTGAACGGCGCCCAAACTATTTAGTACTTTACAAAGGGAGGGGCGGAAACAGCTTAAAGTCCCCGCCCCCTTGAGGCGGGGATTGGTCAGTTGATGGGCAGAGGCAGAATACGCCCCCCAGCCCCGCCTCCTAAAGGAGCAGGCTTTTGGACTGGGCTAATACCGGGGCTGCTTTTTCTCTTGGCCTCGGGGCTTGATCTTTTCAGGTGCAGGATGGCAGGTCACTGTCTCGGACCTGGGTTCTGGGACTGCACCGTCTGGGCAGCCTCAGACTTGCTCCCTCGTCTTCTTCCATTCATTCATTGCTCTACAGTTTACTGAGCCTCTACAAATGCATTGGGGATATAAAAAATATTTAAGATGTGCCTGCTCACAAGCAATTCATAAGGAGAAACAGATTGTGACAGAGGATTCCCAAGCTGCTATTTCCAAACAGTTTCCTCAAGCTCTATTCAAGATTTTCTCAGGACGTTTGAGCATCCTTAGCAGATTATCTCACTGTCGGTGAGAAAATGAGGTCACAGTATGGAAACAGCTCACCCTCCCAGCCCAGGCCCTATTCATTTGTCTACTTCAACACTCTAGTTAGATATCTACACCTGGGTGGCTTTAGTAGGCTCCTCAAAAATGTAGCCTTTAATACTCAAATAATATTCAAAATACGTAAGATATTAATCCCAAATATATTGAGAAGCCTGGTGCTATGAAGGCCAAGGATACTTGGGGGTCTTATCCTTCCCCTGGCCACCATTGCTTTAGTTTCCTACTTGCATTTGTTGGCAGGAAAAAGAAAAAAGAACAATATGAGAGTTGTCAGTTCTATTTGAGGGCAAAATGAAGACTTTAGCTGGGAAGACAGCCTTTCAGGTAGCTCTGAGGAACTGCTCCAAAGATAGAAGGGGGGTGGTCAATATATATGTGATTTTGGTGAAGGAGGATACATGCAATCAAGCACATATTTCGGCAGAAAATTGCTGCTGGTCACAAGAAGGTTGCTGCTAGTCACAAGGAGCAGATATCTCTGTTAATGATTTTAGTGCTTTTCTGCATTTGAGAAGATGCAAGAAATTGGGCTCATAAAATCTTCTTCTGAAAATATGTAACTATCTGAAGGCCTGTTCTACCAGTTTTTCCCAGAGCACACAGTGCTTTATTCCTGATCTCCATCCTGAATGCCTGTCAGGGTGTGTGGAAGGTCAGTGACTACAATGGCTTGTGACAATTTTTAGTTGGCACCTTGAATTCTTGATCTCCACTCTGGCCTGGATTCCTGAAAGTGTCTGTCCCCATCACCCCACCCTGAACACTGCCTGAATCCTTCATTCCCCAAAGCACCACTGCACCACTGATACAAAGCTGAGGTATGTGCACACCTTTACTCAGATAGGGGGCTCCCAGGAGGGGTTACACTATAAGTGCAGGGCACGGACTGCCATTTCTCAAACCCTACTGGTTTTCCCCCAGCCTTTCTCACTCACATCTGTCAGACTTCGACTTAATGTATTTTCTGAGACATGTTTTCCCTTTCTCTTCCTGTTCCTACTGAGATTTCCCCTCTCCCTTTCTCTAGTCATCAGACTCCAACTTCCCATTGTTATTTGAGTTTACAGAACAGTCTGGTTCTGCCCCCAACCCCCTCTAAGCTCTAGCCACAAAAAGCTAATAACCTCTCTAAACAAAGGAGAATAATATAAAGATTTGTTTAATCTCCTGCCCAGATCACAGTCCATTGTGTTATTGTTGCTGGTTGTTTTTGTTGTCCCACTGTGCATTTACCCCAGTTTCAACTCTTGGAGGACACACCCACCTCCTCTTCAAGATTCTTGATCCCATTACCCATAACCTGTCCTCTTCAGAAATCTTACTTGTCCAGTGAACAAGGACAAATGTTCTTAACCTATCTTCCTGCAGCTCTTGACACCCGTGACCACTTCCTCCACCCTTGGCCCCTGGACATTACCCTCTCCTGTATTCCTTCTGTCTCCACCAGGACCGTCTCTCACCTCTGCATCATAATTTTCAAATCTATATCTTCAGCCTGAATCTCTTGCAAAGTTCAGGTTCAAACTGCTTTCCTGTCCATGGACAGCACCTGGATATCCCACTGGTGCTCCAAACTCAATGTGTCCAAAATCAAACTCAGCATATTTGCTGGGCCTGCACTGTGTGTAATTAACCAGCCAGCTTTCCACACCAGGAAAGACCTTGGAGTTGGCAGGATCCTCTGACCCAATATTTCCATTAGTTTGGGACCAAGGCCTCCCCTTTGAGTGATCTGAGACATATTTAGCCAAAGCCAGCTTTAAAAAGCCACAACCTTTGATTCAGCAGGCATTCCAGCTGTGGGCAGGCAGAGGTTACCTGTGGGCAAAATTCTTGTGACAAATACATTACTACAAAATGCTCTCCATTCTTAAGCTAGAAATATAATGGCTGAAACTACCACGTGACCTCAATGAAAAAGAAGTGCTCAGATGCCCTTCCCATCACTCTCCTTGGAGAAGCCAAGGCACCTCCTGGTGCTGAGAGGTTGTAAACACTCCCATTGTGGTGATCGTGAATGTTATGGTTTGATTTGGACCCAAGCAGTATCTCTAATGACTTGATAATGTTTCTTTCTCCTCCAGGACTGTGTTTCAGATAAGAGCCGGTTCAAAATTGCTGTTGCCAAAGCAGGGGTCCTCCTCTATTCAGAGTCTGGAGAAGGAAGATTGGAGAGTGTTGGTGAAGAGAACCAACACCAACTGACTTTATTTCGCAGTGCTTGAGAAGAAAATAAACCAGATCTGGAGAAAAGTTAATGCCTGGAGGTGCTATCCTTGCAGAATTTTATCATGAAGATGCAGTGGTGTGATCTCAAACTCTCAGGCATCTGCCCCCAAGGGGCCTGCTGGAACAACAGCTGGTTTCTGCTGTGCTCAGTGCAGGGCACTTGTGTTGCTAGGTGAGAGATGTTAGCTAGGACAACAGAAGAGGGTTTTAAAGGTTGTTCAGGCTTGACGATTAAGAGATGGGGTAAAACAATGAAAGAATGTCTAACTCAGGAGTTGTGTGTGTGTCTGTGTGTGTGTGTGGTGCTGTGTGTACTATAACCCTCCCTTTGTCTCCCTATCAAGCATTCAGTAAAATCCATATTACTGCCATGGTTTTCAAGTTGGATTTTTTTTCCCCTTTTGATTTAATTTTGCTTTTGAATTCTGCAAATCATTTACAGGACTCCCAAGTCAAAACCATATAAAAGGTACATTCATAGAAGGCTTGTTTTCATCCCGTCCCCTCCTCCCTGTTCCCTCCCAGTACCACCCGAGGCCCCACAAATCACAACATACCAAAAATGTTTTCCTCCATCAGTCAGGATCCAGGGCTTGGCTCTGGTACAGGAGAATCCATAACCCTACACATCAGCTCTGGTAATAACACTGCTCAGACCCGGAGAAGCACTTCACATCTCCTGATCCATGTTCTGGAAATATGAAGTGACTGTGTCCAAATCCCACAAAGATCTGTGGTTTGTGCAGGGGAGGATTTGAGCCATTGAAGCACTTAGGGAAGAAAAGAAATACATTAATTAACTAGTCAAATCCTCTTGCTTTTTTGCCTCTTCCAATTTGTGGTTCCAGAAGTACTCAGAAATTAATGTTGTATTTGCAGTAGTGGCTGAGGAACATTTGTAATATTAATTCATATTTTTAAAAGTGTGTCTATATGTGCATCTAGATGAAATGTGTGTGTGTATTTAATTGGTTTTAGTCCTGTTTTGGCTTAAGGGAAGAACTGAAAAAAAGCAACTTACAATTTTAGGCATTGATTTAAAGATCGTTGAGGCCAAGTTCATGGTAATGGGACTGACATGGTTAGTAAAAATAAAGGTGAACAAAGTCAAGTTTTTAACTAAAAATCCAAAAGCATGTTTGTGCCACGTGTCCCGGGTGGCATACTTGAACTTGTTACTAGATCTGACCTCAACTGTGCTGAGGGTGATGGCATTTTTTGGAACAAGAAAAAGATTATATGCAATATTTGCTGGATCTGCCTAAAGATGAAGCATCTTGGGGAAATACACATCACATTTGACTTTACAACCACTCTTGGACACATGATGAGAAGGCTGGCTAAATGCTGTTAAAACAAGTAAATTTAATTTGAACATGATACTAAAAGAAATTGGAGTTAAGCAAAACAACAGAAGATTTTCAAATAAGGAATAAATCATGGTCTCAAGTGGGAAATGGAATTACTCTTAAATATGTACTGCCCACAGACGCTTGAGATGAACTATTGCTTAATACTAGTAATACTAGTATTCAAGAATTGTTTATAGGGGACTCAAAGGTATTGTGTCCCACCTCAAGCTGGATGTGTGAAGCTACAGCAGCTGCCAAGAGGATCTCCGTCACAGTAGGTGACATAAGGAAGAGGTCCCTCTCATCCTTATCTTTCATTCTAGTGTGGAGCGTGTATGATCAGATGGATTGGCTTATTGAAAGTTAAAGGAAGGCCACACCCCAGGGGTAGCAGCAGCCTCTCCAGAAGGGACTGGATGTTCCCAAGCTCAGTCACCCAAGAGAGAGGACAGACCTGAGAGGGGAAATGGGACCCTTGAAAGTGGGACCTTTGGCTCTGTCCCTCTAGGCTTGAACTCCGATGGATCTAAACTGATTGGTGGATCATCCCTGCTCAGAACCATTTATACACACCCTGCTGTGCTAGATAATTTACCAAGGTTTACAAATCCTCTGTAATCTGGCTTTATCCCTCACTAAACTCATTCCTCCCTTGCAAGATACTAACCAACGCTAGCTATCTCCCACACAGAGCAGGCTGCCACACCCCATTTTCCTAGTTACCCACCGTTATCCCTCACAGTGAAGCTAAGTGTCAGGTCTTCCAGGAAGCCTCCTTTGGCTACCTCAGGCTGATTTAAGTAACTGTTTCACCTGCATGTTTGCACCCTAGTACTTGGCACATTGTATTCTAGCTCTGTACTTGACTGTCCCCCTCACTTGAGTACAAGCTTCTCAAACACATGGACCTTGTCTTAGTTATCATCTCAACCCCCACCCCCAGCTTACTACAAGACACACAATATCCTAGTTCAGTTATGAGACAGAGAAGGGAGCCACCACAATGCCATTTTCCTTCAAAGCAAACCCTCTCTGTCCACATGTCACCTCTACTTGTACTGCAGTGCTGTCATCACTCAGGATGAACTGAAATGAAGCCCCCAAGTCTGGCTTCAACTGATAACCCCGCTTCTCAGTTCCCACATCCTCCCACCTGCTCCATAAGATCAGAGAACAATTCAAACTAGGGGCACCAGGGGGCGCTCACAGGCAAAGAAGAAGTAGAGAAACCCTCATAAACCTCAATCCCAATTTCACATTTTGCCATTGCTCAAGAACCTGCAGTGGCTCCCCATTGCCTACTCTATCTGAAGATCCAAGTTCCTCTCCCATGACCTAATTCCATCTCATTTGCCCAAGGTCTCACATGGATGTAACCTCTACCTCATGGAATTTCTACTTAGCCTTGTAACACTTTATTTAGTATCAGCTGTTTGCAGAAGGGCGGTACCAACACATGGTAGCAGTGGCTAAAGCTCTCAAGACACTCCAAATAAACATAGAATGAAAGTGAAAGCAGTGGGCTTGCTATGCTAATAGCAATCATGTCACCCAGCCTCCCCCTCAGCCCGATCTTCTAGCCAGATGGCTACACTGAGACTCTTCCTATACAGAAGAAGCAGTTGTCACTGTGTGTGCCCTTTCCTGCAGTCTCATTGTTTGTGCCACTTGCCCTGCCTGGAATGGTCTATCCTCACTCTTCCCCTATCTAAATCTGACTTTTCATTGAAACCCTCACACTTCCAGAAAGGCTTTCCTGCCTAGTGCAGGCTAGTGTAGTTCCCACAGATGCTCCATCTTCTGAATCCCTGTTGCATTTCCTGTTTATATCACATAATTCGGTGGTATTCAATCCACTGCTATCACTTCTAGGATGTGAAATTAATTCAGCTGTAAGTTTTGGAGTTAGATCAACCTTGGTTCAAATTTTAGTATCTTGGGGTGATCAAAAAGTTCTAGAACTAGACAGTGGTGATCGCTGGATAACACTGTAACAGTATTTAATGCCACTGAAAACTATATACTCAAAATGGTTAAAAGGGTGAGTTTTATGTTATGTGTATTTTACCACAGTAAAAATAAATGTAGCTCCATTACTCACAAGCTGTGTGACTTTAGGTTATGTAACATTCTGTGCTTCAGTTTCCTCATTTTTTGTTGTTGTTGCAAAGACCAGGATAAACATTAGTGATGAAAATGACCTCAAGTGATGGGCTGAGTTGTAAAGCACTGTGCAAATATTAAATATCATGCTTCTTCGCTCATTCTGAGCACTGCCATGTCCCCTCTGAACAGTCACTGGTTTGGCCACTGGCCCAAGATTAGCTAATTAAGCGGCAGGGCTGTCTCAAAGCCACCAATTCCTTCATGGAGTTTACAGCTGAGTGTTTGAGACCAAAGTTGAACCAGCACTTTCCAGTGTGACTGGGATGCAACGGGGAAGGCAGCAGGGAGAGCACAGCCCCAGTCTGACCTAGTCTGGGGCTTTTCTCTGATTCCAAACCATGTGTTCTCTCTCCTTTTTTTCAAGTTTTCTTGAAGCCCCGGCCCTGGGGAGTGGGTCAGGGAGGCGGGGCTCAGACTCCCAGCTAGCCTCCCCTCCTCGCTCCCACCTGTCTACCCCTCGAAGATCAGCGTGGTGACTAACTGGGGATCACAGGCCCGCCACGGTGCATTGGAACAAGGCTCCCCTCCTGTTGTTCAAAGCTGTGTGTGGAAGGAAAGACGAAATGAAAGGCCAAAATGGCCTTCAGGGAGGAGAGGAATCCCTTCAGAGACGCAGTGGAGCCTCGGGTCCCTAGGCTTCCCATAGACGCCTTCCTTTCTGGTAGACTAGCTGGCCTTCCCTCAGGGACGGCTCAAAGTCAAACTCAAACAGCTCTCTGGGGACATTCCTCCTCCCGGATGGTGGTATTTTGGGGAGCGGATGTGAACTTCCCTGAGGAGGAGAGGTGTAGGCTCCCAGCATCCTGCCCTGGGCCTTCCCCCAGCCCCCAGCTTGCTCCACACTCCAAATTGAGGGCGGGAGGAGGAAGTGGGCAGAGGTTAAATAGCCCCTCAGAGACCAGAGAGCAGAGACCCAGTATTGGGAGCTAGAGGTCCCATTACTCCAGCAGACAGAAGTGGGTCCAGCGAGGTTAAAGAGCGACCCGGAACCCCCATCCTCGTCCTGATGCTGAAATCCTGTCTGGAGGATCCTACTCTCTCCTGGATCAGAGGTCACTGCGCACCCAGGAGGCAGTCCCCATGCGGCCTGGCGCTCTCCCCAACACTGTTCCCCACCCCCACCCACAACTCTGCGCCCCACTCCCCCACCCCCACCTTCCCAGAGCGAAGACTGAATCACCTCTACCAGCCCGCGCTGGGAAAGGCCTGGAGACCGGATTCGGGGCTTCCGGAGAGCCCCAGGGTCCCCTGCCTTAGCCCCTCCCTGGCCCCGCAGTCGCTTGAGCATTTATGGTAATATTTGGGTTGGTGCGAGCGCAGCCGAATGCCCCGCCTCCCCGCCGTCTTTGCGGGGCAAGAGGAGGGGAGCAGCGGCTCCTGGGACGTCACCACGGGATCCCCTGGGCCCAGACCCTGGGTGGTGGAGGGCTGCCCAGGTGGAGAGGTCCCTGGGGTCGGAGCGGACAGGACAGGACAGTCCCGGGTCTAAGTGATAGCTCCACAGGGCTGGGGATTAGGATGGGAGGGTTGTGAGCCCCCTCCACGTACCCCACCCACTGCCCCTCCCTCTAGCTTAAGGGTCCCTAGTACCCAAGAAGAATCGCTACATAGCCACATCCTCTTTCTCCTTCTCTCCCTCCACTCCCTGCTAGTGCAGGGGCTGAGAGGAGAGGCCAGCAGCTCCCCGGGGAGTCGCTGGAATGCTGGGAGCCTGGGAACAGACCTTGCAGTCCCTGGGAAAGCCAGGAGGCGGGAATCCCACCCGCAGCCCCCTCCCCAGGATGAGCCGGCCACCGGATGCTAGAGACCTCAGTTCCCCAACAGGGGGCTTTGTGAGAGTGGAAAACCCCCTGTCCAAGCTCCAGCCTGGCTCGACCCCAGAGTTCAGTAGGCCAGCTGTGACGAAGACGCCCCCTCCCCCACTCTCCTCTCCCCTGCCTGCTGCGACATAATCCTCGCCATTGTGCCACTGCCTCCCCTCCCCCTCCCCTTCTCTGGACCCCTGTACAATGGGTCCTTTGCCTCCTCCAGCACTCAGGGTGGAGATGAACTCACTCACGGCTTTTCCAAGTTTAAAAATAGCCCCTCCCATCCGTCCCAAGTCACCCTCTTCCATGGAGTTCCTGGGGCACACCTCAGTCCTGGCTGCACCTCCTTCTTCCTGCTCTAGGTCAGGTGTGAAGGACCTGGGTGAGACTGTGTCCGGCCAGGATAGGGGCTGCTTCCCCCAATTCAATGTCTTCCCCAGCATCTTCCACCCAGCCCCGAGTATCCGGTTTCCTGGCCGATGGATGATGATGGCCTCAGCAGAAACTGCCCCCTACCCTCCTCCTACCCTGCTTTTCACTCTCTCAGCAGTCTCCTCCCAACATACACCCCCACTCTTGGACAATCCTCCTACCTCCCCTCCAAAGACTCAGATCCTATTTTTCGGCCAGGCCAGGGGGTTCCCCAGCCTCCCTCATTGCCAAGATTTCTCAGCCACCCCCTCCACCTGCAGCTCCTTTTCCCTGCAGCTGCAAACGTCTTTATCAACTTCCTTCCTCCACCCAGCCCACCCTTCTCACATCCTCCAGATTGAGGCCCCTCCACCAGAGGGGTGGCTGGGAAGCCACTGTACTCACTAGAGAGAGAGAGAGAGAGGACTCCTAGGTTTGAGTCTCACCTCAGCAAGCCCCTGCAGGCAGGCCCATTCTTGTCTTTTTGCCTCCAACTCGACTGTGGTAGGACCCCATTCTTCTCCACTTCGTATAGTGAAATGAAAGCCCCACTCAGCCTGGAGTCCCTGGAGCTGAGGGACCCAGACCAAGGCCACCACCTCACCCAGCCTCAGTTTCTCTACCCATGGTCAGACAGGGCATTCCACACAGGGTCCTCTCATATCTGAGTAGCCTGGATCTGCCATGGCGGTAGAGTAAGGCAGCCTTCCTACCTTTTCCTTCTGGAGAGAAATGAGGCAAGGAATTAGGACACTGGCCCGGGGCCTCTCCTGATCTTGGCCAGCATCTGGGCAAGGCTACCTGTGACCCAGTCTAGGTCCAAGAGTCTCTGCTAGTGTAAGTCCCATCGTGGCCTCCTCGATCTCCCTCCCACTGCGTCTCCATCCTCTGCTGGATATTCTTCTCCTGACTCCTTCTCTCTTTCCTGCAACTACTGAATGAAGCTCTTCTGACACCCTCCACCTTCTGCTCCTTCATCCTGTGCTGCCTGCACTCGCCTTTCTTCTGTCTCCAGGCCCCTCTGAATCCTCTCTAAGGTTCTGACCTCTTTTGGGTTTGGAATCCCAAAGTGCCCTCCTCAAGGCCATCCCAGAGTTGTCTGCCCCCTGACCTCTAGTGCTCACCCCCTGGCAGCCCAGATCACCCCAGCCTACTGGCTTCCTTAAAGGACAGTCTTTGTGCTCACTTGGTAGGGACATGCAGGGAAGGGATGTCACCCTGGGCTCTAACCTCATTTCCCCTTCACTGCAGAGGCAGCTCCCCCACCTGCACCTGGCTTCACTCTCCTCAGGGCGGAAGAATTCCGAACTGATTGTCCTTGGTGGTTAGCTGGCTTTGTTTTCAGGCCGGAGAGAGGAGAATGATTAGTTAATGGTGTTAAGTGAAGGAAAGGGGGTGGGGATGGGGGCGGGGAAGCGGAGCGCCATGCCCAGCTCTGGGCTTGCCAGGGCAAACAGTCTCCTTTAGCCATTCCCACTCCTGCCCCTGCAGACAAACTCATCTACTCCACTCTGGGCCCTAGGCCAGTCCATACATTCACTTTGGGGGATGGGGAGGCACCATCCTTCTGCTCTCTCTCCCCAGGCTCCAGGCCCCCTGGCCTGGCCAGCTTGCCATGGCCTCTGGCTGTCCATTAATGGAGACAGAGGAGAGGGTCAGCAAGGTTCTGAAAGATGAGGCTGCTGTGGTTCGAGAGTCATCTCTGCGTCATCAAAACGCCATCCCAGAGCATCCTCTCAAGTCACCTGCCCATCTCTGGAGTTTGCTGCCTCACTCTGCTCCTCCCCCAACCAGCAGCAAGGCTGTCCTGCCAAGCGGCAGGATTCTACCCCAAATCCAGGCCCCTTTTTGACCCTCCCTGGGGAAGGAGTCCCTGCAGATGTGGACCCTTTCCCAGGGCCAGGGTGCTGGGAGTCTCTAAGAGGCCAGAGTCCATCTCGTGCCCTAGAGCCAGAAGAGGCCAGAGACCCAAGGTTTGGGAAGAAGGGGGAGCAGGCTTCCCCTCACCTTGTCTGATTCCTCCTCCAAACCCCCACCCCTAGCTGCTGAGCCTCCAGCAAAAGGGGAGCTTGGGGAACAGAGTGGTGGAGGGGGGCGGAGCCCTGCTGCAGGGGGTCCTTTCAACCTTCAGGACTGGTAACAGGTATTGGGGTCAGGCTGGAGACCTTGCACCCATTAACTCTTTCTTCTCCCTCTTTTCTTCATTCAGGTGAAGGGAAAGTGAGTCCCAAGCTAGGCTCGATGAGTGAAGAGGGCGGAAGCAGAAAGTGAATTCAGCCCCTTCCTCCTTCCTCCAGTGAAAGACGGACTTGCAGGAGTTGGGGTTGAAGGGACAGCCCATATAGCACCAACTCCACTCCCCAATGCAGATACCTCTGGGTATGTGGGCCCCCGCCCAGGGTTCTTGCCTCAAAGCTGCCAGGACTGCGAGGCTTGGGGGCAGTGCCAGGCCGGCGGCAGCCGCAGTGGTGCAATCGTTCTGGGAAGCCTGATTTCTCTGTGGCAGGGGTCCGGCGGGGTGGAGGAGGCGGAGAGAGGAGCCTGAATGGGAGGCAGGCCCCCATCCGGGACACCAAGCACCTGGTCAGCAGCTCCCCCGCCAGGAGGACGCCCAGGGCTACGCGGGCTGGCAGGGGCTGCGGCGGGGGTGAGCGCGGCGGGGTCTGACCCGGCGGGCCTCCGGGCATCCGAGCCAGCTTCTGGCTGACGCCTCGGCCGGGCAGCCCAGCCGGGAGACACCT